TAGAAGACTTGTCCTGGCTCAGCATTTTAGGTTCTCCTCAGACTAACACCCTCCACCTTCTCTAATACTGCCCTGGGGCTCCTCATCACTATTTTGTTCTTTTTGCCTCTTCAATCACCACTTTTTAACTTCTTACACATTTGCAGTCTTCAGTCACAAGTCCACTTTTATTTATTTTGCATCACATCAGCTGTCATAGCAAAGAGTTTTCAATTTCCCCTTCCTGCTCAGCCCAGATCAAAGCATTTCTGAAAGAAAAGGAATTTGTGTGATCCATCTGCTATACAGTAGTTACTTACTATGTAGTAAATTCACATTTTTCAGAAGTCATAAATATACGTTAGTAAGCTTGCCCAATTTTCACCCAGGTGGTAAGAAACACTTCCTTTACACAAAGGTCAATCCCAGAAATGTTTAGTTCCTCCTTTAGTTCCTTCCAAAGATAGAGCTGCCAGGAACATTAGCAAAAGAAGATCTTCTTCCACAGCCTCATGGTAGCCTACATTTTTCCCTAAAAAGGTTGAGGACACCTGGTTCCTGAAAGAAGGGCTATTACAACAGGATATCAAGCAACATGCTACCGATCCTGCTTATAAAACACACAGCCTCACCTCTAATAATTTCTGAATAACATCTCTGCCATAGAAACTAACAATCCCTAGTGCGGCAGTAGCCAGAATATAATTAATTGTTTGGGGTTTTTTTAATTATTATACCTTTATATATTTGATATCAATTTTCTAAGCACAGTGCCCAGAAGAGACTAAATACACATTATGAAGGAAAACACATGTTTTCATCTCAGGACATGTTTACAAAATGACAGCTAACCACATCCGCATTTTCAGACCAACCTCTTCTTATTGCAGAGTAATATTTTATACTCAAATAGATAGCTTTTGAGGTCTGAAAAATAAAAATGTGCCATGGTTTAACCCCAGCCAGCAACTAAGCACCACACAGCTGCTCACTCACTCCCCCCTGCATACTAGCTCTGCGAAGAAAATTAACTCTTTCCTAGACAAAACCAGCACTTCATACCCTTTACGTCATGCTCAAGGTCCCACACTATTCAAACCATCCTCATTAACCATCACTCCCTTTCCCATCCTTTTATATAATACACATATCATTCTCCTCCTCTATAAATCACCTGTGTAAAATGTCTGTAAAATGTCCACAAATGTTCATAGTATGTCCACTGAGTTCATTTAATCCATGACTTTGGGCTCCACCTGTTACGGTGGTCACTCAGGACAGAAAAGGTAGTATGCTGCATGGCTTTACTGGGCACCAGAGCCAGCTCATGTTGGGTCCCTACCTGCACTGCTGCATCTAAGGCTTGTCCTCCACTGGTTCAGATGGTTCCTGCTATAGTAGTTCCTGTAACATGCAACTCAAATCATGGCTTATAACAATTTAAAGGTATTTCCATGACAATCTCTACCCCTGGTCCCTTTGGGCCAGGTTATAGGGTTTAACGTTGCAATGAAATCCTCTTGTTGCTCCTAGCCTAGCGAGCAACAAGGGGTTGCGCGGACTCACCCATAGGTCCCAGTCCCTTCAATTTGAGTTCACACTGGAGTTCCAGCCTGTCCAGTACAGCAGCACAAAACCAGCAGCGATGCCCTGGCCACCTGCCAGCCCAGGCACACCCCCACTGCTGTTATCAGAACATTCCCAGGCACAGCAGAGGAACAGGATAAACTACAGCACTCCAGCAAGCAGCAAAAGCAAAAAGCAGCCACAAACGAGGCATTAGGCTCCAATATACAGTAAAATGAGCAAGTGACATAGCAAGCACAAAAGCTTGTCAATTAATAGCTAAACAGCAATAACAGCTCTAAATTCAATCTAGCCCATTCCAATCAAATCTGTCACTACCTCAAAATCTTCGAGCCCCACATTGGGCACCAAAAAGGACTGTCATGGTTTAACCCCAGCCAGCAATTAAGGACCACACAGCCCCTCGCTCACTTCCCACCCCCTGCTTGGGATGGGAGAGAAAATCAGAAGAGTAAAAGGGACAAAACTCATGAATTGAGATAAAGACAGTTAAACAGGTAAAGCAAAAGCCACGCATGCAAGCAAAGCAAAACAAAGAATTCATTCACCACTTTCTGGTCAGCAGGCAGGTGCTCAGCCATCTCCAGGAAAGCAGGACTCAGTCACACGTAATGGGTACTTGGAAAGACAAACGCCGTAACTGCAAACACCCTCTTCTTCCTTCTTCTTCCCCCCACCTTTATATGCTGAGCATGACATCATCTGGTATGGAACATCCCTTTGGCCAGTTGGGGTCAGCTGTCCCAGCTGTGTCCCCTCCCAGCTTCTCGTGCACCACCAGCCCACTCACTTGTGGGGCGGTGTGGGGAGCAGAAAAGGCCTTGACTGTGTAAGCACTGCTCAGCAGTAATGAAAACATCCCTGCATTATCAATGTTTTCAGCACAAATCCAAAACACAGCCTCATACTAGCTATGAAGAAAATTAAATCTACCCCAGACAAAACTAGCACAAAATGGTTCGGGCCCTCAACTCATACAGCTTCTGCTTGGCAAAATGGAAAGCTTTAAGGATGTCTAAAGATCAGATTATCCAAATCTCTAAATAACAAAGATAAAAGATAAAGTAGTGCTCTTAAAAGAGGTAGTGGGGGAGAATATATCACTGAATCTGGGAATAAAGATATATATATATATATTTACTATATCTGGGAATAAAGATATATATTTACTGTGATATGACAACAATCTAGATTCCAAACAGATATATGGAAGAGGAACAAAAGAAGAATCACTCTAAAAAATTACCCTACTCCTCCAAGATACACTGTGTATCTGATATATTATATACCAAGTAAGACATCACATGCAGAAGGCAATCAACTTTACCAAGAGGATGAGCCTCCATACCACATACAGTTCATTGATTGAATATTAGTATTTCGCAAAGCACAAGACATTCTTTAACTAAATCACATGCAAGATTAAAAATGCCAAACAAGAAGTCCCTAGCTAAAATACAGCTTTAAGAAACTGCAACTTTTTTACCACTTGGTAGTTTTAACTAGAATAGTGTTTTGTTATTTTACATCACAGAAAACAAATTAAACGATATTATTATTATTAAACGACGATAAGCAAAGATGCTATACCATGCCACGAGAACCTCTGAGTGTTCAATAGTAGGTCAGCACTTCAAATTGCACTGCTTCTCTTGGTATTACAGATAATGAGATCTTCTGGATTACCACGTTTCAGTTCATGAAAAGTAGAAGAAACTTCAATATCCTCTTTCTAGAAAACTTGAAGTCACAGAAAAAGGCCAGGACTTGCAAAGGCAGGCCACAACATTCATTAATTATTTCTGGAAGATTCACAACAAAACACCCCCAGAGCAGGAGAAGCCGAGCAGCAAGCAGAACAAATAGCTGATATCTGGCTGAACACATCCTGCTAGAAAGGCCCTCCCAGTATTCCCTGAAGATTTTACAGGCATTATGACCTGGCAAAGTCACTTAAACAAACCAACCCCCCAGACCTACAACAACAGGTTCTTTGCACTGCTCAGACATACAAAACTGAAATTGAGCCTCATGCTCACATCTCAAAGTTTCTTCAAATTCAACTTCAAAGTTTTGTCGATGTGAGTAAAAATCCATGCATATATTTTGACAAACGTGACCTTGAATATGATAGTGGTGAAAAACTAAGCAAACTAAGAAAAAATACGGCAAATATTGGTAAGGCTTCACTTTTCAGTTAATTCCATAGTATGCACTTCAAGATTGCTTTTTCTCTACCAATGTGCTACTAAAAAAAAAAATACTACCAAAAATCCTTATTTTAGTCATAAATTTAGGTTTAGAGGTACAACCACATCACAATGCACACTCTCACCTGCGTTACCAAACAAAGATGAAACTATTCACCTACACCATTAACCAGATCTAAAGACACATTTTAGAAGATGATCCAAGAACAATGGAGACCAACACCCATCCAAAGTGGAAGTGAACTTAAAAAACAATTCAAATATTAAGGAGATTAAGATCTGAAGATTGACATTTGTTATTCAATTTCCTGTCACTATAAATACAGCTCCTCCATAAAATACATATTTAGTTAATACATTCGTCTATTTCATTTTTTACATAATGGTTTTAAATAATGCAAAATGAAGTCTACCCACACCTGCAGAAGAGTCTACTAAGTTAGTTGCACAGGTGAGCAGTTTTGCATGTATTCTTAGAGGGTTAAAAAAGAGTCAAAGAAAATTTGTGTTACTGTGCCACCATCTGTGTTGAATTTAGATGACAGATTTCCCACAGACAACTATTAATCTGGCAGTAATAAAAATGTAAAGTAACAATCATTATAAATTTAAAATTCTTTTTTAAAAATATGTGATGTTAAATTGCTCAAAGAATACACCAACAGTACAAATCAGCAGCCAGTTATGTTCTTTGTACCCTCACAGGAAGACTCCCAGGTGAATGACAAGGTATTTTGTCATCACTATGGGCTTGACCACCAGTACTAGTAAAATGTGTCAAAAAGACATGTCGGTTCTTTCAGGAGGAGAAAAAGATAGGACAGGTGGAAACATAAAAAAATTAGCTGCACCTGTTTATCAGCACACTTGCTGAAGTGTCTACCCCTGTTTTTCTTTCCCACCTTATCACAAAGGCTACACAAAAAATCTTTAATGGAAAACTAAAACAAAGGAAGCAGCATGGGAATAGCCTTCCCAATGGATATGTTTCAGCATGTATCCCAGAACTAATCATAAACAGGAATGGGAAGGTACATGTACAAACACACCTGAAGACATTTTCTCACTGGACCCTAGTACCTCTAGTTTATCACCTGTGTTATTTATTATTCACTGCTTCATGTACAAGATTTTCCTTTTCAGCAAAAATTAAATTTATCAGAAAGTGATATTGCTACTATTAAGCAGATGTGCCACATAATTAGCAACAACAAATCCACTTACTTTTTTCTCCTTCTCATGATGTTTATCCTGAGAGTGAGAGGAAGAATCACTTAAACTTTGATCATATGACCTATTAGATCCCCGTTTGCTCTTTTTCTAAAAAGAGAAAATATATTTATGGGTAAAGGAACCATTTGAATAATAAAAAGACTAAAGCATTTCCATCAATAAGATGCCTTACTGCTTGAAGAAAAAAACCCAACACTTCAGTTACTGAAAAAAGGACAAATTACTAACACTAATCAAATAAACAAGACTACCCAAAGTAGAGCAGGAAAAAAGTCTATCCTTGTATCGATTTTTACACTTCCCACAATTTTGCAAGATATGCTTTCCACAAAGAAATGAGATATGCCACTTCTTAAAGTTTAAAATATGCTAGACACATTTTTAAGTTTTCAAAACATAAAACAAAAAAGATGCTGCTTAAATGATTATCACATGAAGCCACAGTGCTAGCACTGCCACATGCTCTAAATGCTTTGTGAAGTATCTACTTTATGGCTTCACGGTTTATTATTCAAGTGACTTGTCCGCAATACCTTCATTTAAATGGTTTAAAGAATAGGATACAGAATGCTACGGTCATGTATGCATTTACAAGCGGCAGATACAATTGCCTGTATTTCTGCAATGTTTGAGAGCCTAGTCTGGGTCTGCAAATACTTTATGCTAGGCCAGTGTTCAAAATGGTTTTTTGTCATAACCAAGGCAGCATTATAAAGACACTTCAGGTCAGTGCTTTGCCAACTAAAGTTTTCAGTGGTATAGTAGATATATGCCACCCACCATCTTCAGTAGTAAATACTAAACATTTTTATTTACCAGGCATCAACAGCCACAATAATCCTAAAAAAAAAATCCGTAACACACTTAAATGATCTTGCCAGTCTTTACTGTTCTTACTGCTATAGATTTGTAACAGAAAGTTAACTAATTACATGCCAAATGCAGAGCTAGGTCTTTATCACTAAATGTGCTTTTTAAATAAACATACATGTTCTCAATCACAGCAGCACTGGAACATTCATATCAAACGCATAATAGCGTAAGAGCTTGCCTTCACTGCTAAGTAATAGACTTTTTTTGTTCTTCTTGTATAACTTAGATCAAGATAATAATTTTAAAAAAATATCTCAGCTTAGTAAGGGACTAGAAAGCCCTGACTTATCTTTGTTATGAAGCAAACTCATCCACATTCACAAAAGCACAGAGCTAACCTCACCAAGCTTACCTTCTAGAAAGTAAGATGGCTCACTGGCCCTGTGTTTTTACTTCACTGCAGTATATAGTCAAACACCCAAGTATTCACCTTTTTTAGCAGTGAAAACAAGTAATCAGCAAGTTTAACTATATTCACAGCAGCATCTGAACTTCAATCTATATATTTAAATTTTCATAATTCAATATTCATAAATAACTTTTTTTTTTTAAACATCAGTAAGTCCTTCATGTCCACGCACTCACACGCATACACAGAAATAGATATCTGGAACTGTCAAACTGAAGAGGTGATAGGAAAGACACCAGAGGTCTGATCCACAACCTAATGGAATAACCAAGTTTTTTGCTTGTTTTTTAGAAATCAAACCTCAAGTCATTTCCTCGAGGTTGTGTTTCAGAGAACTTAGAGGCAGGGAATATCCACTGGCTACATGGTGAGAGGTGGAACAAAAGGAAAAACACTTGAAGGAAAAAAAACCAAATGGTATCAGAAGCAGAAAGAAATGGAGGGCTTCTTTATTCTCTAATATACAGGACAGCAAGTAATATTTTCTAGATTATTCCAAAATGAACTGAATTCCTAGAAGCAAACTAATCAAATAGCAAAAGAAAATATCACAGGAACCTAATGAAAAAAAAAACACTAAATGTGCATGCTATTTCTGGCAGAGCGGAAAAACCCACTCATCTAGAAAGTAACCACTTATAAAACATTTTCAGCTAGTACTTCCATAACCATGATTAAAATACTGCTTTAATGAAATACAACCTACTTTCTGAGCTACAATAAAACATTCTTTCTAGTGTTAATAGTAATTCAAAGTGAAAAAATAAGTCAGTGACATTTATTTATAGAATTTAACACATACGTACCAGTTTACTAAAATGGTATTTACAGTAGCCACAGTATTGGACGTTATCTGCACCATTGCCTTCTTCTTCACAAAGAAGTCCTGCGAATTGTGCACTAAAAATAAACCAAACAACATTTAAGAAAAGCAATTTTACATCAACTTGTACCACAGTATCACAACTGATAATATACAGATACTTATATCTGCATTTAATAGGAGAGATTTCCACACAAGTGACTTCTAATGGCATACGAGCACATAACCTACCTTTGTAGCCCAGTGCAAAGCATGTTTGGTTTATACTTTGCCCTGATGCATTTTTCATGGTCTTTAAGCCACTCATACAAACTTACAGCTTGAAAATCTACATTTATTATGCAACTACTTCTTCCACAAATAAATAAACCAAGCAATTTACAATTCTTGCTTAAATTCAAACTAAAAATTATCTATGGAAATAACAGTGTTTGTTTGTTTGTTGTGGGTTTTTTTGCGGTGGTGTTTTTTTTTAAAAAAAAAGCACACAAACCCATTTTTCTGAAGTTGCACACATCCTTCTCTGCTTTGCCAGGAAAATTACCTTTTTAAAAAATTTTTAAATAGAACTTCAATTACATAATAAATCAAACTATATTTATTGGTTTAAAGGACCATGACAGATTAATTTCTTTTAAAAAGAACAAGACTTACAGGTTCCCTTGCCTGGGCTAATTATTACCTTATTCTACTACCTGTTTTTCAAATCAAATTTGCTTTTCACCATTGGTAAGGTGGATTTATTTTATTTATCAAAATAAACTTAGACATTGAAAAAACAAAATATTCCGTTTCATTTTCCGCATCATTTTCATTAGCATAACAATGCAATGTCACAGCCAAAGTAATGCACAGGAACATTTAAATGAAAGAATATAACAGCTTATTTTCATTGTTTTTTTTAAAATCCCTTTCCCCTCATTTATACGTTATGTTCTTGGGCACTCCAGAAATACTGCTTCCTAAATACATGCACACCTACAGGAGATGCCAAATACAGAAAACATTTAACAGGATCTATTTAAGCTAAGAGCTGATGGACTCAAGCTCACTCTTCCTTAGACATTAGTTTTGCTAACCCCAAATTGATACATCTAGCCCTGGATCTCTGCCTTTTGTACTTTTCACATTTTTCTTCTATTTTTTCAGTAATATAGAAACCTCTCAGTATCTTCAGTCACAGTACTCTCTGTCTAGATATCACCTTATGGTAAATACCCAGGGGTGGTTTTTTTTTTAGAATAAAAATATCCTAAAAATTCACAAGATAAATATTTTCATTTTGAACCTAATTCTTATGTTCTTTAAGTCATTCACTGAAAACAGGGCTTTGGAAGAAAGCAAAAAGATGAAAAAGACTCTTGCATGCATCCAAGTGTTTGAAATAAAAGATCTTTTCATCCAAACACTTGGAGGTACACATTTTTTCACATCTGTAAGTAACCTCTTTACATAGTACACACGCTTTGAGGAACACGATCCATTTTCAGCATAAAAAGAAACTTGACATTGATCACATCCAGTGAAAAAACCAGATGCTTATGAAAGAGTAAAACCTGCCAGATAGTCAAGTAATTAAAAGAAAAAAAAGAAGAGCTGCCAAGAGATCAGCACCTAAACTACAGAATTACATCCTTTAAGATCTGCACAAGACATTCAAAGTAACACTTGATTACACTGAAGAAAACGCATTGAAGTAATTTAAGTAGGTGTGCAAATACCATGTCCCTGACTGAGTTGATCATGAAGCATTCTGGGGCACTCACAAAACAAATCCACAGATCATGTAGCTACACAGCCTGTGTAAATCTGCTATCTATGTATTGCAAAATAGCTTCAGTTGAATTTGAAAAAAACAAATAATGCCCGTAAATCTTGGGGTGGAATTCCTTTTCCCTCCTTTCACCTGTTGACATTTGGTCTAATCTAATTATCCAGCCTCTTTTAGAAGTCCATAAAATGAGACAAGCATCTCTGCAGTACAAGCAAATCTAAATATGTTAAAGTGGAATTAATCAGATGATGAACACAGCTGCTTTTCTCTGACAGCTATACATGAAACCTAGATTAATATTTTAGGATAGATGTGTACCATTTAAATAAAACCAGTGAGGTGAATTACATCCAAATGTTTGTAAATCTGTACTGTAAGGGGTGAGTCTAGTGCATTTTTATGTATAGCTCAATAATTTTCCCCACTGATTACCAAAAGTAAACATCAAATCAGTTAGAAGGTAAACAAACAATGTCTCCACATTCCCATATCCTATAAAATATCATCTAAGAAAAATAATGTAAGACAGAAAAATACCACTAAACCCTATTCACAGGAGCACACAGGATTTAATGCAACCCAAGGGCATACTATCATACACCTTTTGCAGCTCACAGAAATGTCTACGCTGCCACTGCCATATTGCTAGCAAACTCTACATTATAATATAAAGTTAGATACTTCTACACAAACACCTTGACTGTATTTCATTACTCAGAAATACACTAGTTTATTCATTACATTGTGTGCACTGATTCTTTCTGCAACACCAGAGATGTTAAATAATAAAATATACTTACCACGTAACATGAAAAGCTTGACGACATCCGTGTTTATTACATGTCATACAAGCACCAGTGGCTGCTTTACTTTCTCTGCCTTGTTCATCGCAAATATAGCATGTCTATCAAAGAGAAAATACTTAACATGGTAAGAAGCATACAAAGAAATTCTGTGTTACTCACAGGAGATTCTAGGGTGAGAAGTACTGGATTCTGCAGCTAGGCTTATGGAAGAACTTCTTTATTAAAGTCTAATTATGTTTGTTTGCAGAAGATCACCCGGTAGACACTTAGGATGTGTGTAACATTTCACCAGCGCTAAAGCAGTATAAATACTAATGTACTTAAATTCGATGTCGCTATTTAACCAGCCAAACCATCAAACATTGAAGCATTAGGCTTCAAGATTTTCCTTGCTTTCAAGTTTGTGCTTATGTCCTTTTAGGTCACAATAATTTTTGCATTCATTTAACAAAACCTGCATTGGTGGCATTCAGAAACATCAAATTAGACTACAAAATTCTCTACAAAATTACATACAGAAAAACTGCAGACTTAATATTTTATTTGTACATTTGGTGTAAAGAATTTTCAGAACTCTCATAAAAGGCTTCAATATTCATATGAATCTCAGTCACCTTTAATTAAATACAGTGTTTAACAGAACTCTGCTTCAATTTCAGTATGACTTGGACAGTCCCATAGACATCTTGAAAACTAATCTAGCAAGAACTTTCTGTAAACAAAGCTTAAATTAGTATGTCAAACCCACTGCAAGCCAAAAACAACCTGTCTAGTACCTGACTACATTTTCATAGCATTTGTTTTACTGGGATACTTTGGCAATTTGTAATATTCTCAAAAACATGCCCAGTAAAATATAAGAAAAAAAAAGACAAAAATAATCCAAAATCTTTCTCATTATTCAATACTTTAAAAAAAAATAATTATGTGGCCATGCTCACTATTATATTAGACATCACTACAATCTCTCACCTGCACTACAGCGAGAAACTAAACAGGCAAAACTAAATCTCTTTCCATTTTTTACTGTCCTAACTACCAAAATGCCATTGAGAAAGATTCTATCATATCACATTCATGTGTAAAATCTAACAATTTAAGAACAGATTCTTAATAAAAGTATCCTTCAGCATTAGGGAAGTCAAGTGTCTGTTCTGAAATGAGAGAGAACCTCACTGAGGTAACAAACATCCATGATGCACCGCTACTGCTGCAGAAATCTCATTACAAGATCTTAGATGAGAAAATATATTTTTTTAATTATTTAAATTTAAACTCCAACTGACTTACTGCAATTGCATCACAACCTCCCTTCAGTGAGGCAGAGAATGAGGAGAACAATAAATAAAAAGAACATCAACCATGGACAGTAGAAAATACAGTTTAGAAAAAGGGACCGAGATACCACTGAAATAAAAAAATAAAAAGGATATAATGTAAAAGCAATTTTACTTAGAAAGACATGAAAAGGAGTGAAGTTCTGAGATCAGAATTTCCTTTAGCAGAGAACAGTTAACATGAGCCATCACCTAATTAAAGCATTTTTGTTCACATGTGAGACTTTAGGGCAGGTGAGTCATTCTTGTACAGTTTCCAGAAGACTTTCAAAAAGCATTAAACCCAACAGCTAATATATCCTAAAGTCATACCCTATACCCTAACATTTGAAGGATCAGAAAGGGGATAATCCCACTTAATAGTTTGCCTTGCTCCCTTTGTACATCAAGGTAGTGGGTTCAGATAATTCAGTTGTTTGACAGGGTCTGAGCCTGTCTGCTTTTTAGCTTTCCATACCATGACCTGACACATTTAGGTTTTTGGAACAAACAAGGTCATGATCTATAAACCTCATCTGAGTAACTATATTAAGTGTAACTTCAAACAGAAGGTACCTTTATAAAAAGAGGGTTCAACTGATCCCATAAAACTCAAGCTCCTGTTACTGTTCTGTTCTTTTCAGAGTTTTGCCTTAAGATCTGTAATTTTTTTCCTCACTGAAGCTCAGAAGGAAACATTTCATTTAGTAAGGATGTAGGTCCTGTTTTTCAACACTACATACTACATTTAGGGCCTGTGTTTCAGGACTCCTTAAAGCAATTTACAGTACAATTACTGAAAAACTGTAACAACCAACCAGCTACATTACAAATAAGTGTAAACACAACATGCTGGACTCTCTACCCACTGTAACAAGCTCAGTGAACTTCTACCCTTCCTAGCATAGTCATGAGAAGTGTAAAACCCTCTTTCCTCATCTCCCATACGAAATGAGGCCAAAGAAGGTACCTCTTCCTGTTTCAGCACAGCCAGTGAGTTCTCTCTAAAGCTCAGCTTCTCCTACTTCTGCCTTCTCTGAGCCACAAACAGTTCCAGAAGCCTGCGAACCTTTCTCTTTCTTTCACAAACCAGACTTGCATGCATTTGCAAATCCACACAATTGCTACACCTCCTCTGAAGCATGGAAGTGTAAAACTCCCCACCTATAGCAGTGCTGCTCTTAGAGCTCTTAAGGGAAGAGAGTACTTAAACTTCTCCCAAGCACACTGGAAAATAAGCAAAACATGACACTCAGCAAGGAAATTTTACTCAAAAAACACATCATCTTAGTTTCTTTAATGGCAAAATATACATTTTGCAAAGCTGCCTTTATGTTTCTGTCAATATTTTTTCTTCAACAATTCAAAATGTAAACCTTCTTTGCAAAATAAAAGACAGAAGGGAAGATGAGGCAAGAAAAGCCTTATAAAACAGAAAGTAATTTGATAAATAGTTTACTTGTAACAGCTACTCAAGAGCATTCCCAACTTACTGAATCAAACCTAGGAGTTGTACAGAAACTTCTCAATGTTACAGCAAGCACTAAAGTAAAAGCCTAACAGCTGCCTTTACTACTAGCCAGATCAAGAAACTCCAAATGCACTTATTTTTCAATCAGCTCTTAAGAGAGATTACTAAAAGCAGTAATTATATTCACTTACCACGCACTTTCAATGAACTTGAGACAAATAAAGCTCACATAAAATAAATAGAGATTATCCATGTATAACCATCCAAGAAACAACAAACATCTACTAAAACATCTATTAAATAGGAGAGCAACTACTAGTCCATTTCTTTTTCAGAAGTAACTGTGCAAGAAGAGCTTTCCTATTAACCCACTACTCAAGCCATTCAGTGGATTCATCCTGCAATGTGATGGTAAACTTCAGCGAAATAGCAGCCAAACTTCTTTACATTGACAAGCCTGATGTGTTGGTGTCTGCAGTATTCTTTCTTGCATTTAAGATTACTACACATTGTAATATCCCATATTTTGCAGTGTTCAATAAAGACATAAGTGCATGTGGGGAAAAAACTGTGTAAAGTACTACCTCATGGCAAAACTCCAATGACATTTGTCTTTAAAATAAGGACTAGAGTATCAATTTTCATTGACCTGTATCTTCCCTCAATTCCATATGCTAGCCTTCTATACATATCCAGCTCCATATGCAGAATTGTTTAGGACTTCACAGGAAATAGAATCTTTCTTAAAATCATCTTATACCAACCTGAGCTGACAAACAAAACGAAATCAGCACTGAGCCTCTCGAAAGAGAGAAACGGCTCCAGCCATTTTTTCCTAACTGCACGTTTATATTTGTTCACAATATGCAGTAAGTTTTAAGAACTGTTTGCCACATCCACTTCTCAAAAAAACCCACTTTTATTTTCCATTTCCTCCCAAATTGATAAAGTCAGCGTTAAATGCTTTACAAAGTTTCTCATCTAAAAAAGCATCACTTAAATAAACACAATTTACGCTCAATATCAAGGCGTGTGGGGAGGTGAAGCTATTGCAGGCTACCTGAAAAAGGAGTTAGTAGTTGTAGTGGTTTAGGTGGTACTGCTCAAAACCAGCCTACTCGGGAACTGGTGGTAGTTTAGCCACAGTGGTACCAAACACAGCACTGGCTACAGATTTATCACAAAACTGGGAGAGACCCCAGTCAGTGACTGCCTCTTAAATTCTGTGCTGTTACAACTTAGATTCGTTTCAAGAGGTTTGTTGTAACAAACGCATTATAGGCATGTATTTGATTCCCCTGAAATCCACAACCACTACCGCTCTGAACCAAATAGACCACATAAAGACAGCAAAAACTGGGTTCTGTAAAAAGAGAGGAAAAAATAAATAAATAATTTGCAGGCTAGGCGTGTGACCCCAAACTCTGACATTTCTGTCAATATACTGTAGTGTCCTGTATAAAAGTAGTTTTATGCTGACCATTATCATGGAAAATAGGCCTGAATCAGAACACACACTAAAAATACAGCAAACTAAAAGCTAGATACCATCAGGAACTTTATCTACATGATCTGTATAGCACTAGTAATTACCTAGCAAGCAAAAAAAAAAATCATGGTAACTACAAACCAACAAAATGCAAATTAAAGACTAAGGACATACACCAACAAGGGACTTTGTGAATGAGTAATATTAAAAGACACAGGGTTCATTTTTTGAAGTTACAAGGATTTACTCATCCAATGCCAACTACCATCAGTGGAAATGGTGCAAGATAAAACAAAATCCAAAGTGTTTCACAATTTTTTTAAAGTACATAAGGGAAGAACCACTATGAATAAAAAAACTATCATGACTACTACTTGAAAAATAAGAAAACATGTGCTGTTGGCCCAGAGTTGAGGAAAGAGACAAAATAAACTCATCTACCACAGCAAATCTGTACTGCTTTGTGTCCAAACACAAAAAAAATTGCATTAGTTCTGCACTTAAACTCACTGCTGCATGTTCCTGCCAACGCAGATGGAGGCCAATAGAGATGCTCAGGTAGTACATAATCAGACAGCATGAGAAAAATCCTAGAGTTTGACTCCTGGCTTTTCAGATAGACGAGGTAAATAAGATGGGCAAAATACACTGGCAGCAATTGTGAGAACAAGAGACAGACAGGGAAAAGACCAAAGTACAAAAAACCAGGGATGCAGGAGGAGGGAGATATAAATCAGAGGTGTAAACTGAGAAAAAAAACCAAAACAAAACACTTGATAAAACACTCTATCTCAATGACTCTTATTTAGGAGCAGCTCTTCAACAAGTAAATAATTCCACCGAAGTCAATATGGTTTACAAAGGCAAAAGGCTGCAGTTTTTGCCATAATATATTAGCAGGGTTTTTCTTCCTAAATGAAATGTTTATGAACACCATATGAATACTTACAACAGTAGGACTTAGTGGCAATTAATAACAACATTTCATGTAAGCTGTAATAACATTTTCAACTATGGGAAGTACTTTACATTTCTTTCAAAATAAACTGTTATTCAAAGATCACAATATTTTTAATTAACAGAACAGTCCCTAATCTGTAAAAGAACGAGACATGGCAGATAACCTTACAGCTTAATGTAATCATATAGCTTTCTTAATTCTTGAATTCATCATAAAGCTATAGCAGAAAACAGACATTACTGCATACATTTATGAACTTTGTATAAAGTGCATTCTAAGAAGTGCAGGTTTAGATTATTAAAGCTCACAAGTTTAAAATAAATACATTAGATACAGATAAAATGATGTATAATTATACCTTATTATAACGATCATGAGGAACAGACTGCAACACGATAGGTTCCATTGTAGAAACATTTGCAAACTGCACCTCGGGAATGTACAGAGCACAAACCACATGAGCCCAACCTACAAAAAGTTATAATTGTATTTAATTTTAATGTTTTCTAGAAGCATAAAGGACATTTCAATTATAGCACAAAGAACCTTTTACAACACTTTTTTGCATGGCCTATTTGAACTGTTTAAAATGGTACAGACAGAAGTTAAGTCATGTTTACATCATCATTTCATATTACTAAGTTTAGATGAGCTGTAATATATTTTTAAGTTTTTTTCAGTGGAGAATTTATACAAATAATACTCCATGAAATACAAATACTAATGAAATAAATGGAAAACCAGGTTATTTCTTTAAATTTCTTGGAATAACATAGTAATTGCGTAAAAACTGTGCAAATTACTGCAAAAGGGAAATATCATGTGAACAAACTAGTATTCATGCAAGCATTACCATTATATAAGACTTCTGTGCATACTTTTTTATTTAAACAAAGTAATTTTAGTAAGACTACACTCCTACTTTTTTCTATAGAAAGATATCCCAAAACAGACACACATCCTCTCTATTAAATCTCTTCTTTTCCTTCTTTAAAGGTGTGGCCAACTCATTTTTTATTGGAATACTAACTCCTATATGTAGTCCTGTTCTAACTCATTAACTTGGGGTCATCAATAAATGCTTAGTTACTTACCATAACTGTGCTTTAACCACAACACAAGAAGTAAACATTCCTAATTGTCCTACATTTGGTTGGATGGGGATGAGGGGAAATACCAATTCAGAAAGAAACCTGTTTATTTTAGGTTCTTTTTCAATACTAAGATCCTGAGAGTTTTCGGTTTGTTTCAAGGGAGGACAGTTTGCCGTAACTGTAGATTCAGCAGAAGCTGCTATATAGCTAACCCAACATATTAATATACTGACGCTAATAACAGAATTATAAGAGTAATATCACACAATATAGAGCTACCTCATCTGAAAGTGAATTTAGTGTGGCTAACGATTTCGAGTGAAGTCTGTTCTTCCACAGAAACTAAAGCTTTTTATCACAAGACCTTCAGTACACCCTAAAAATAATTGTGCTTTTCTCCTATCCAGGCTTACTTGTTTGCAAATATTAAGGACATAAAATGACAGATTTACATAACTCTATAATCCAGCAGATTATTAGATTAGGTAAACAAGGTAAATTATCATTGTGCAAATGCATCCTATAGTGAAAAAAAAAAAACACACACAACAACAAACCCCCCCACACACACACGGCACGTGCGAAACCCACCACAACTCACCATGCTGCCTCACTGCAGACTTCTGAGTTTTGTTTTCATCGTGGATTTTTTCTTTTTAACTACTCTACCAAATCTAAAGCTTCTTAATTTCTTCACCCAACTGTACTTTGACTCATAAACTGAGCTAAACATAAGTTGTACTTACAGTAGTATTGTTGAGACTCTGAAATTATATTTACTATCTGGAATTCCATACGTGCTTTTCATACTTTTCTTAAAGCACAAATCTATTCTATCTAAAGCACTTTTCTATTTGCTCCCAACCAACTGGTGTCCTCCCTCCACATTTACTAAATTAGTAGTTGTAATTAGTATAAAAAATGAAAACTGCACACACTTTTTATAGACAGCTGCTACAGTCAATATTCGCAGTCAACATAACGCATATCATTCTAGCATTTAATCTGCAACTAAATACAGTATCTGTGTTGCTTCATCATTTTATTCACAAATAGTTTGTAGAATTATTCTACACAGAAAAAGCATGAGACTAATAAAAGAGTATGGAAAAGAAAGCATAAACTGGCAACTTGAGCTGCTTTTAAGAGTGGTTCCAACAGACCATTTAAAAATTATCATTAACAGACTGAAAAGAACCCCAAAACCCCAGAGCCTTTTTTTGTTCTTTCCTCTAGTTGAAATATCTTCAGGGAATAAGTGTTTGTAAGGACTTTTCTAAGACTGGAAAATTGTCCTAAGTCAGTCATCTTACTAAAGACAGATAGAGAAATGTTAACATGGTGTTAAATAGTGAATCTTTATCTTTAAATCTCCTCTCAAAAAATTAGCTCAAATAGAAACACTATAGACCTAATAGAGCCACTGAATCAGTAGAAATGTGACACCAAAATTTTGAAAAACAAAACCCTTTAGTTAGTTACACATAACAGATGGCAAAAGCTTTTCCTTAAGTTGTAATTAAGCCTGTGCTCCAGTTACACTTATCTACAATAAAAAATTCTGCTGTAAATATAAAAAATATACCAGAGACATTTAAAAAAAAGCTAACTGAAATTTAGGTAAGTAAAGAATTTTCACTACAAGAAACCAGATTCAGAAGTAACTTTACCTGAATACTACTCCATCACTATCAAAAAAGAAACAAACAAACACAGCCAGAAACCTACAAGTTTAATATATTCTTTTTTCCAAAGAGCGCACATGCAGGATAGTTGTGGGCAATCACACACTTGCATCTTCCATGAAAACAAAACTAGAATCTGTACAATGAAACAAAGGAAGTACCCACAGCACTAACACACTTTCTGAACAAAGGGTCCATAAGGGAATTGAGGACAAGGGATCTTTTCCATTCATTTCCATCTGGCATCTTTAGAACCCAGATAATCTGACCTTGCTGAAAAATCACAACCTGTCCAACAGAAATTTAACCCTAGAGGAGGCTGCAGCATCCTTGTTACCGGTCTCAAATGCCTGCACCATAAAAGAAGCCTAACTGCTGCACCAGCTCCCAACTACAACTCAGAGACCTGCACACAACAGCTTAAATGTTGTTTTGTATAAAGTTGCACCAATGAAGAAATATAAAGAGAATTCAAGGTCTGTAGACTCCTCCACAAAACTTGTCAACTTAAGGGAGGTCAAGAAGATTCAGTTTTACCATAGTTTCTGGTCCTTATGGACCAGATAATAGCAGAGGAAAAGAGAAAAGGAAGCAAACAATCACCATTTTTTTCCTAAGTATCAAAAGTACTATGTAGTAGCTATCATGGAAACATGGTAGAATGAGTTACAGAACTGGAGTGCTGCCATTGATGGGTATAAGCTCTTCAGAAGGGACAGGCAAGGAAGGAAAGGTGGTGGAGTGGCCGTATACGTCACTGCCTAGAGACTAGCAATAGTGACAACAGGGTTGAGTGCCTATGGGTGAGAATCAAGGGGAAGGCCAACAAGTCAGATATCATGGTGGGAGTCTGTTATAGACCACCTAACCAGGATGAAGAAATAGACAAAATATTCCATAGGCAGCTGGGAGAAGCCTCGCAATTGCTTCCCCTTGTACTTGTGGGGGACTTCAACTTCCTGGATATCTGCTGAAAATATAACGCAGCAGAGAGGGAACAGTCCTGGAGGTTCCTGGAGTGTGTGGAAGAGAACTTCCTGACACAGCTGGTGAAGGAGCCCACAAGGGAAGGTGCCCTGCTGGACCTACTGTTTGCAAACAGAGAAGGTCTTGTGCGGGATATGATGGTTGGAGGCTGTCTTGGGTGTAGTGCTCATAGAGTTTTCAGTCCTTGGAAAAGTAAGGAGAGGGGCTAACAGAACTGCTACTTTGGACTTCTGGCCGGCAGACTTTGGACTCTTTAGGGACTTGGTTGGCAGAATCCCCTGGGAGGCAGTTCTGAAGGGCAAAGGAGTCCAGGAAGGCTGGACACTCTTCAAGAAGGAACTCTTAAAGGCACAGGAGCAGGCTGTCCCCGTGAGCTGGAAACCGAGCCGGAGGGGAAGAAGACCGGCCTGGCT